TGGCCTTGAAGAACCTAAGATGTTAGAGATGCCAGAGTAGTGGGATACCTGCCTCAAAGAGCTACTAACAGAGTGGAACCAGTCCAAGAGAAAGAACTATGTTGCCATCAACCAAGCTGAACACAGTTGGAAATCTGACGAGCATTTTGACATTAGAAATGGAGCTTCAGTGTTTGGAGTTTAAACTTTGGAGTTTTGGGTTTTTGATCTTACTTTTGTCCAGTGTCTCTTCACTATGTTCCCTTCAGTGCATTTTGGAATGGTAATGTATATCCTCTGCCATTATATGTTGGAAGTATGTGATCTGCTTTTTTGATTTTAATTTTTATGAGGGGATTACAGTTAAGAGATTGTTATGCATCTTAGAAGAGACTTTGAAACAAGTTTGAGATTTTTATAGTCTATGGGAACTTTTAAAGTAGAACTTAAAACATTTTTTTGTACTATGAAATGGCTATAAACCTTTGGGGGCCAGGGAGTAGAATGTGAGAGTTTGGAAGAAAATGGTCCCCAAAGGGAATGGCACTATTAGGAGGTGTGGCCTTGTTGGAAGAAATATGTCACTGTGGGAACAGGCTTTGAGGTCTCTTTTGCTCAAGCTTCCCTCCATGTAACAGTCTACTTCCTATTGCCTGCAAAATGTAGGACTCTCAGCTCCAGCAAACAGCTCTACCTGCATGCTGCCATGCTTCCCACCATGGTGATAATGAACTGAACCTCTGAAACTATAAGCCAGCTAATGTAATTAAATGTTTTCTTTATAAGAGTTGTCATGGTTGTGGTATATCTTCAAAGCAATAAAAACTCTAAGACAGACCTGAAGCTCTCTGACCAGGCTAGGCTAGCTGGCTAGTTTATACCTTCCCAGTGCTGGGATTATAAGTATGTATGGCTACATCTGGCTTTTAAATGGGTGCTAGTGACTGAACTGGGGCCCTCATGATTGTACAGCAAGCACTTTACCAACTGAGCTATGCTTTTGCCTCTCCATTTATATTACGTTAATGGTGATTCTTAATCTCTTGACTTAAAAGACATTACAATTCTTTTACTCTCACTTCTAAGGTAATAAAGGACTTAGAACACTTTAACCCCAGTCTTTTCTCAGTCTTCTGTCATACTGCTTTCTAGACTTAATTATATTATTTTTAACTCTTCTACAATTAGTCTTTACTACTGTAAAGATACCATGATCTACTTGTGTTATTTTTTTCATTTTAAATTCTATTTTCATTAATCGCAATGTAGTTCCTGCCCTAGTCTCTTTTCTGAGTCATGATACCCAATAACTTCTAACTATAGTGAACATTGATTTGATTATTATTTTCTGGTTCATAATCTCTTATCACTACTTCATACTTTACACATATTAATGAGCCTTCAAACACAGTCATTACTGAAAAAATGTTAAAAATAAACATTTGATATGGGCTAAAATAAATCTAGAAGTTTCTTTCTAAAAGTCAATAGATTTCTGAAGAGACTCCTCAGAATGTACATTCAGAAAACGAAACTTGCTAAATGACCCTTTTATAGACACAGGTCTTTCCTTTTTGCCTTAAAGATTCAAATAATATATAGTAGCCAAGTAGTCTATATCTTTCAAATGACAGGTGGAAGTTCTTCTCCTTGACAGATATAGTGGACATGCTAGAAGATGTGCATAAACTATTGATTTGAAAGGAAGAATAATGATCAGCTTGACATAGTTATGAAATATTTCTAACCAGTGAAACCAATATTAACTGATCTCACTTCAAAAACTAAATAAAAACAGAGTTTAGAGCTCATAGGAACTGACTTGAAAAATGTGTCAGAGATATGCACATACCTATAGAAGATGGCACAGTATAGCAGAAACTACAGAAACCTAGCTCATTTTTTTATTATGATAAAAATTACAGAACACAGGCGACCTACCTATTATCACTCAGAAAAGAAGACAAGGCCCTAAAACAGTTAGGCCTCTACACTGAATAGCGATTGTGGAAGGATGGGTGCAGGGGAGTGCTGGACGACGAGGCATGCAATTGTCTACTTGCAGATTCACAGACTGTCCCAGCTCAACTGTCTAGAGTATTCTGGTTATCCAAAGGAAAAGAGAGAAATCATGAGGGCCTTTCACTAACTACCCCCAAAATAAATATAAAATAAAAGATTAGACAACTGGTTTTTAATCATTAAAATGTTGTGGAGGAAAGTCCAACCCTGCAGCTCCAGTGAGAAGACAGTTGTTTTGCTTCTGAGCAAAGGCTAGCCTGGCCCAGTAGCTGTGGCATTAGGGTAGCAGAGAACCCACAGGGAGTAGTTTTTTTTTTTAATTAAAAGGATTAAAGGATACTGTTAATGTGCCTGAGACATTGCTGAGGAATAGGAAGGAGACACCAAAGTTCCGTACTTAGGATCTGACTGCACCAATAGAACACATAAATAAGCCCAAAGACCAGAAAACAATTAATTAGTAGCTATATCAAGGCTTCTAGGAAAGGGAACATCCTGGGCCAGAATGGTCATGCAAGGACTGAGTAACAACATGTGGCTTATATCAACAGCACCCACTACTTACTGATCTCACACAATGTCCCAGGAAGTACACTAGACATTCATTTTTCTTTCTAATAATCCCATCCCCATTCTACAGATGAAGGTGTTAGCTCAGGGAAGATAAACAAAGAGCTGGACATGGGAGAGTACAACTGTAATCCCAGAACTCAGGAAGAAAAAGGCAGTAGATAGTAGATCTCTGTCAGTCTGAGGCCAGCCTAGTCTACAAGGTGAGTTCTTGGCCAGGCAGGACTACATAGTGAGACACTGTCCAAAAAAAAAAAAAGGAGAAAGTATGATCAAAGGTTACACATGTTGCTCAAGGCAGAATTGGGTATTCAAACCCTGGTCTGACATGAAGACCAAGGGTTTCTTTCTTTTTTGTTTTTTGTTTTTTTAAGATAGGGTTTCCCTGTGCAGCCTTGGCTATCCTGGAACTCTCTCTATAGCCCAGGCTGGCCTCAAACTCACAGAGATCCACCAGCCTCTGCCTCCCAAATGCTGGGATTAAAGGTGTGCACCACTACTACCCAGCTAAAAAAGCTAAGTTTTGTCTGTTTTCCTTATAGCTCTTTCTATCATAGCAATGGAGGGAAAGGCTTTCAACTGGGATTTTAAAACATTTTATAGCTGTAATTCTGAGAATGTTAATTAATTAATTAATGTTAATGTTATTCTGAGAGTAAAAGCAAAAAAAAAACCCTCCTTTTGGTTGTTGTTGTTTTTATGTGCATTAGTGTTTTTGCCACGGGTGTCAGAACCCCTGGAACTGGAATTACAGACAGTTGTGACAATTCCAATCCTTGGAATTGAATCCTAGTCCTCTGGAGGAGCAGTCAGTGCTCTTAACCACTGAACTATCTCTCCAGTCCCAGCTTGCTAAGTGGTTTTTAGAAAAAGCAACCTCCATTCATCTGCTTACTCCTTCTTCAAGACCCAACTAGAATGCCATTTCTTGCAGAACTCCTTCCTAGCCAAATATGGCTTGGCTGGTGGTGGGGGTGGGGGTGGCCGTGTCTTTTTCCAAAGGTCTCCAAAGAAACACTACAGTCCTTTATGTGTAATTCCCAAAGCCAATAAGCTTTGGAAACTCAAGTGCTTCTCCTAAGTTTGCCAAAGTTCTTTGGGTGGCAAAAGATAAGCTGGTCTAAAGTGAAAGTCTTTTGTAGCCTTTACTTATTGTACTTAGTATGAATATTCATATTCTGGTGCCGAAATAACAATGGACGGAACTAAAGGATACCGTCTGAAGTACTGTGGCTATTATATGTATGTATGCATATGACTTGTTAACATTCAGACATTTCTGGCTTGCAAAGCCACATTTGGCTTCAAAGTGTTTCAAACAAGGGACACTGATCTTATACCTTATTCATAAATTTCACTGTGCTATAAACACTGTTTTTCTTTTGTAGTGGCGGCAATGCAATCGAAGGCATTGAGAATGCCAGGTAAACTGCTATAGCACTGAGCCACAGGAGCAGCAGCAGCAGCAGCACTGCTCATTCATTTTATGTAGGCGGGGCACTTTGTAGACAGTCTTGAAGACTGGATATATATAAACCCAACACAATACATATTTCCTGAGCTAGGAGCTAAGGTTGCGCTAAGAAGGAAAAAAAAATGGTTAATGGTTTGGAAATGACCATGGGTCTCCAACTGGTAGGTCAAGCCTCAAACCACCAACTGCTACTTCCTTTTTTGACTCTGAAAGCCCTAAAAATAGCCGCTGTTGATTGAAGGCAAGCAATATAGCTGATGTCTTCACTGGAAACAAAAATAGCTCAGTGGGCTTCCACTCGGGACTCATACATAACTTTCACCAAGGACAAAGCATAGCAGACATATTCATACCTGAGATCATATGCTCAGCTTTACAGCTGCACGGCCTTGATGCTGATGCCATGTGCTCCCAAGTTTTCTAAGTTGTAAAGTAGCAACCAGAGAGGCTCATAGGGCCCTCTCATAGGTAGCTGTCTAACAAGGTAACTCATGGGAGAGACAGTGGCAGCTGCTCACATGCAAACAGATGCAAGCCTTAGGGTTTTTTTTTTTTCATTCCTGTCTACTGTCCCTAGAGTAGAGTTTACTGTTCTTACTCAGTGTTCAACCTAACATACCTTTTCCATCCAAAAGAAGTAGTCAGGAAGGACATCGAGGGGGCCCGTTCTGATTTAAAATAAAAGAAGAAGAAAAAAGAAAAAAAAAGGGTCCAAGAACTCTGTCAAACAGCCTCAGCAGCTGTTCAAAAACCAGAGACCTGACTTGAGAGTAAAGAGAACAGGAATAGCAATGGGAAGGAGGCTAATAACTGGCTAACAAGGTCTGGATTAAAGTAGAAAACCTCTTAACTATCTGCAAGCTCTCAGGTCACAGTAGTGCGAAGAGGCCTGGGGGAGTATTGACTCACATCAGAGGGCAGTTTAGGGTGTTCTCTTGGGCTGATGTCTGTTTACCTGGTAACATAAGATGGTTTGCTGCACCAGCCTCGCGTACCCGTCCAGGCGGACCCCAGAATTGCTCCTGCTCCGCATCTCGCCCACGCTCACTGGCCGCGGCGCCGAATCTACCCAGTGGTGTCCGCTAAAGCTGCAGCCTCCAAGCCGGCCTGATGCCCAAACACGACTTCGGTGAGTTCTCCGAATAGGGCCTGGCGGGAGGAGGTCAGGACTTTTCAAAATGATAGAACCAAAGTATGACTTGCAAGGCAAGCCAACAAGAGTTTCGCACCGCTGGGCGGTGCGGGGGAGGAGACCAGGGGTGGCGCTATCGGGGGGGGGGGGCACCTCTACCAAGCTCGCAGCTTCCCCGACGGTTTCTAGTTCCGGCCCAGCCGTGCAGGACAAACCCGTGACTGAGAACTCGGCGGGAGAAAGGCCTTTGCCATACATACCCTTTTGTTTTGGGGGCTTTATGAGGTGGCTCCGGGTGGCCAGGAAGCCCACTGGAGCCGTACTGGGCTCCGCCCCCCGCGTGGAGTGGAACTCTCCAAGTATCCGCCGAAGGGGGGGGGGGTTAAAGAGGAAGGAACATGGGAGCCGCGGAGAGCCGGGCTCTGAATAGGAGTTCGTCTTGTCATGGAGCTTTCTCCTACCTCAACCGGCTTTCAACCCCATCTGAGAGTAAAGGAACAGCGCCCCTCAGTCGTGGCCACCTGGGTGTCACGGCTACCCCTCAGAGCGACTTGCGCCACGAAGTGGAACCCATGCTGTCCCGCCCGAAGGGCCCGCGTTAGGAGGTGGCACCCTCTGCTCGCAGCCCCGCCCCCGGCCCGCCTCCTCCAGAGCGAGGAATCTTGCTTGTCGCCGCCTGATGGGGGAGGAAAATGGGGCAGCCGGCGGGAGAGCAGGAGACTCGGAGAACCTGTACCCAGGCAGAGAACAGCAGTGGCAACGTCTGAGCGGGCCGCCAAACCCATCCGAGACCTTGGCATCCTTCCGATGGCCCACCCTTGTAGACCCGCCCTGGCCCAAGCCTCACCTGAGAACTGAATCCAGAAGTGGAGCACAGAAAGAAAGAAAAAAAGGGAGGAGGCCTGAACAGTGTCCCCCATATACACTCCTGGCTCCCTTGGCCTCTGGGAAGAGTCGCTCAGCTCTTTTACAGCAGCACAATTTGAAACTTAGCTGTCATTAGTTGTCAAGGTCACTAATTAACTGCAGGCTACATTCTTTACCTAGTGGCCCTTGTTCACCAAAATCTGGCCCACATTTGAATTTGACTGGACAGCTATTCTAATGTAATTGTTTCTACAAGTGCTTTGCTGTTCACCGCATAGACTCTTCCAGCACCTGAAACCTAACTTTGCCTTAAGGACTATGTCAGACCCTTGTTCCTATTAGCTTTTCCCATTTTCTGGATTCCTACAGCAATTTCTTTAGTAAAGATAAGACAAAAGAGTCAGTTCACACTGCACTTTCTTCCAGTTCTGGTTGTTTGAAATGTAGCCTTCGTACCTGGGAGAGCGATGAGGTCAAGAGCATTTGGCTCCTGCTCGGCTCATTGACTAGGACTTAAATAAACTATTTTCATCACCATTTGGAAATAATGTATTATCTTACATTTTTTATGTTTTCAACCAAGGCTTATTTTTCTAACTGGATTATGGATAGCCTGGTATCACCCACCATGCCTGGATCAGTGTTGATTGAACACATGTTTAGGACTCAATATTGACTGAATAAAAATTAGTCCTGCTTATTTGAGTCCCCTTACAATGAGTCCTTAATTAAAAGTTAACCCTTTATCAGCTCATATGTACTTTTTTTTCTGGGACAGCCTTTGGTAGTCTCGTCATGTAGTCCAGGCTGGACTCCACTGCAGTATATATGCAAGACCGGCCACAAACTTATAGCAACATTCCTCTTCTCAGCATCCAAATTGCTGGGATAATAAGCATGCACCACCACATCTAGCTTGGAGACTTTTAAACGTTGTTTTCAAGCCTTGGCACATGTATTTGTTGTATGGTGAGCAGTCCACCTGATACCTCCTACCCTCCGTTCCCCTTTCTCAACTCCTCTTTATTTGTTTTAATGCTGGGTCTTGAATTCTGAAGCAGTACATTCATACTCCTGTACTTCCATGCAGGATTTGCTGTGGTCTCTGGGGTAGATAAGATTTAAACATTACATTATCACAATTGAATCCCTTTAGTGATCTTCACGGGTAGCTTTACTGGAGATTTCATACATTCTTTTGTCTCTAAAAGCTGGCTTCATTGCTTATTTTTTAAAAAGGGTTTTGTTCCCATTGGAGTTGCTTAAGAATCTCTTTTAGAGGTCAGCATCCAAAGTGGAGATTTCATCTCTTTTGACTCTAAAGCACCCCATTTCTGACCAGAGGGTCCATTCTTAATCAACTTGCTGAAGCTAACCAATTAACCAAATTAAGTTAAGTTAGTTGACCTGGAATTATTGTACTTTTATATTACTATAGTGTAAAGACTGTTAAATTTGTCTCTGCTCAGGCTTATTGCAGCTATATAAAATGGAGAGTTAAGGAGAGGACACACCAGGGACTATAGGGTTTCGTCACAGTGAAGAACATATATATTATACATTTTAAAATCATGTATTTTAAAACCAGGAGCAGTGATATACACTTTTAATCCCAGCTCTCTGGATACTAAGTCAGGAGGGTCCTGAATTTAAGACTATATAGTTGTATATAGATAAGCATGATAAAATATACTATATGAAATTCTCAATCAATAAAATATTTTAAATGCTATTTGTTTCATAAGAATGCATTTAATTTTATCTGCTTTGATTTCCTTTAATTTTTTTGTTTTTTGTTTTTTTCGAGACAAGGTTTCTCTGTAGCTTTGGAACCTGTCCTGGAACTAGTTCTTGTAGACCAGGCTGGCCTCGAACTCACAGAGATCCACCTGCCTCTGCCTCCCGAATGCTGTGATTAAAGGTGTGCACCACCACCACCTGGCTTGCTTTGATTTCTTGAGGTTGTATCTGGAAATTGATATGAAAGAAAAATGAATATACTGCTAAGAATTCTTGATTCAATTTTATGTTCCTTTCAAAAATATTCATTTTATTTGCTATGTATGAGTGTTTTCCCTACGTGTGCGTATGTGTACTGTTTGTGTCTAGTGCCTATAAAAGTCAGAAGAGGTCAGGTCTCCTGGGAGTGGAGTTACAGATGGGTGTGAGCTGCCAGGTGGGCCCTGGGAACCGAACTCAGGTCCTCTGTGAGAGCAACAAGTGCTCTTAACCTCTGAGCCACCTTTCCAGTCCCAATATTATGTTTTTATTGTACTAATTCAGCTTTCCATGTTTTCTGTCCCTCAGACTCCAAGGAGGAGCTGAGATAGAAACGAACTGAATAGTCTTTCATTGCTGTTCTGGAGACAAAAATATCACACCAAACAAGCCTGCTTGGGGTGTGTGTCATTCAGTAAGTTGAACTCTCCTTTGAAATACCCTTCAAAAGACACCTGCCTCCAAGGTGACCTTGGTAGATACAACCCAAGTCACCAAGTGGACCAGTTGTACCATTTCTGTTGAGAACAATTACAGTGCTGCTTACTGAAGTCAGCAAAGTCCCTATGTAGAACCAGTGGTTGCAGTGTTTTCTGGGGGAAATCTCTCCAGTAAATGGAGGAACCACTTCAAACGCTGGGCACTGCTTTGACATTCCCTGAGCAATAGTAGCTCTTCTGTCTCCCTCACAGCAGACTCAGTTTTCAGGACCTATTTTAAAACTGGAGGAAGATGCTTCTCAGAAACATTTGTCTCTGTCTTGTCGTGTTATTTCTCTGAATTTACGAACAAATGAAAACCCAAGAGAATTTAGTTTAAGGACCAGACATGAAGCATAATACAAAGACCAAGGATGGTAGGAACTGAAGGACCTTTGCCATCGTGCCTTTTGGGTGCACCCTGGTATGTACGTTGTTTCCGAGATTGACTCCTGAGGTCTCATCCACTCTCGCCCCCATCCTCCAATCGAGAGTGGATCATCACCTCCCCGATCAATTTGGAACTTGGTTTCCTTGGAGGACCTGAGGAGCCTGGAAAGAGAGCTTGCACAGACTTTTCTTGTCTAGATGCAGCCAGCGCTCCTCTCCCCAGTCGTGGCTTCCACAAGCTAACTAGAGACTCAAAGCCTCATAAATCTTCTTTCCGCTTTCTTGAAATGCCCTTGTTTGAGGCTGAGGAAGAAGACCTTTAAATGGGATCTGAACCGAGATTCGTACATTTCCTACAGCTCGATGGCAACACGTGCTCAAGAGAAGCTTTTGAAAGAGTAAGATACGATACAAAATAACCCTTGGAAAGTGCCCTCATGAAGCAGGACAAGTCCTTTTCTAACTTCACAGTCCAGATCTTCAGAAGCTTTTTTCCTACCACTTCTTTGCCATGCTACCAGGGAGCGGAGGGGGTGAGGAGAGGGGAGAACGCAAACCAAGCTTAAAGGTCTTAACTGCAAATTTATTTCATTGATTTTTAACATTTTTTGTCGATTGTAACATATAAATACAAAATAATTAAATAATTCCGAGAAGAAATTTTGCAAAGACAAATGAGCACACACAGAGAAATGGATATTCCTACTATGGTTAGTCTGGGATGCAACATTTTCTTGAAATATATGCAAGGGAGCCTTAGTGAAAGACCTAACTAAAGGGATTTGAAGTGTTCCCTATAAGAACGTACTGTGCTCGAGGCATCTCTCAAGCAGGTATAGATGAGAAGCAGGATAGACCCTCTGTAACTAGGAACAATCAGAGTTGGATATATATACATATGTATGTATATATACACACAATATCACAGGATAGTTCACTATTCCCAGTAGCTGCCCCCCCTTGTCACTGTACACTCTTCAAGACTTGACATGTGCTTAAAAATACATACAAATGTAACTGGGCCAGAAAGTAGCAGTTGTAACACTTGCGTACCATGCAGTTGTCTTTTGAAGGACTGATTTGTTTGCCATATATACACTCTTGAAAAGTAATCCTACTCTGATCCCCCCATTGTCAAGGCTCTGGGTATTTGAGAAGTGGCAGTGTTTATATTTTCCACCTTCACAATCTTCCTGCCATCTTACAGTTGTAACCCTCTATGAGCATGGCATTAAACTCAACGTCTTAATGCAGATTCTGTAATCTGATCAAATGTGGTCACACAAGTCATCCTCTGCCTAAGGATGTACCCAAGAGGATGATAAGGGTTAATATGTGACTCCCCCACTGCTTCCCAAACCATAAGCTCATAGGCTGTGTCTGCCCAGTGCGAGTACCTTTTCTTGATTGCTCAAAGGCACTCTCTGAGCTAACTGTGGCACTGTCTGTTATAACTGTTCAGTCTGCCTTTATCATTATGTCTTGATTTCAGCAACATTTCTAAATTTCACATCCTATATGATCTCCCAAAGGAGGGTTAGAATTCACTGAATCGGTAAGTCCTCACATTAGATAAAATGACAGAACCATGATTCTACAAAAGAATACATTTACACAGTAGAAAATAAATATAAAAAGGTAGAGATAAGATTTTTGACATGGGAGTCACTAAGCTTATATACAACAAAGGCATGCAAAACTAAACTCACCGACAGACTGAAGTAAACATTTTTTTTTCTAGGATGTTATCAAGGATAACACCCTCTTTAAAATGTGATGGGAAATGAACATTCGTTTTTCTTTTCCTAGATCTTATTCTGTGGTTTTTAACACCAATCTTCTTCCAA